AAACACATGAACAGGGAGAATATGCAGGAAATTTTACCGGGTAGCATTGAGAGTGCAATAGGCCATGCTTTGGATCTCCCCCTCCATCGCAGGATGCCATGGATGGAAGCTCGGATGTATATAGACATGTATGAGCTTGAAGATGACATGAGCCCTCCATTGCTTCATCTCGCTAAAATCCATTTCAACAAGGTCCAAAGCATTCATCAGAAGGAATTAAAACACGCCGGAAGGTACCTAATTTAAACAAAAAAACGCTTCATCGCCGAAGTCTTCAGATTTTTTTTAAAATATATATATTGAACATGCGTGATTCATGTTGTTTTTCCATGAAATGTAATAATTAATAGCTGGTGGAGAAGATTGGATCTGGGAAAAACAATAAACTTCTCAAGAGACAGGCTTATGGAATGCTTCTTTTATGTTGTTGGAATTGTTCATCATCCTGATTATGGATTTTGCCGAGAAAAACTTACTCAAGTTGGTATGTTGATTGCAACTATTGATGACGTTTATGATGTTTATGGATCCCTTGAAGAACTTGAGCTCTTTACCCAAATTATTGATCGGTTTGTTTCATCTTTTCATTTCTTTTCCTTTCATTTTAATTTTGTTACTTTTATTAATTTATTTCCTATATCGAATCATTCATATAAACAAAGCAAAAGCATCATAAGTTAGGACATCATAAATTTGAGCTTATTATTATATATGTTATCTTCATGAATTTGTTAGTTGGGACATCAAAGGCATCGTAGAACTTCCATATTATATGAAGATTTGTTTTTCTGCCCTCAACGACACTATCAATGGAGTCACAAATCATCTCTATTTAGATGATAGATTGGAAGCCATACCTTATATTAAAAGAGTGGTATTTTATCTTTTCTATATTCTCTCACAATTCCTTATAAATGTATTGAACTTAAAATTATTGAAATTTTCTACTTCAAATATATTGCAGTGGGCAGACTTATTCAAGACATTCTTGGTAGAAGCAAAATGGCATAAGAAAGGATACATTCCAACACTAAAAGAGTATCTTTCTAATGCTTCCATCTCAATATCAGGCCATGTCATACTTTTCCATGCTTATATCTTATTAAAATGTAAAATAAGTAAGGAGACTCTACAGCAACTTCAAGATTTTCCAAATATCATTCGATTACCATCCCTAATATTCCGCCTCTGCAACGACTTAGCAACATCATCGGTGAGCACGCAACCAAATTAGAACATTATATATATAACATATGTTGATTCTTTAATTTTTAGAAATTAAATATACAGGCAGAACAAGAGAGAGGCGATGTCGCAACATCAGTTCAATGCTACATGAAAGAAACAGGAGCTTCTGAGGAAGAAGCTCGCTTATATATATCAATATTGATAAATGATGCATGGAATGATCTGAACAGAGAATATTCAGCTTGTTCTAAGCCACTATTTCCTCAAAGATTCATTGATGCTTCTATAAATCTTGCAAGAATGGCAAATTTCATGTACCAACATGGAGATGGATTTAGTGCTCCAAGTCATCAGATTAAGGGATCCATAAAGTCATTGCTCCTCAATAGCATTTCTAATAATTTATATGAAAGAGATATGCAGTGAAGATCCAATCATTTAATCAACCAATTGCATAAGGTCTAAGCATGATCTCCGAGGATAACATGGCATTGCTCCACAACCTATAAATAAGTTAAGTCGTGCATGAGTAATGTCTTATTATAGACTATTTATATGTAAAGGATATATAGTTGATAAAATGAGAAAATTTTATGTACAAGATGGTGAAAGAAAACACTCAGGCTTGTATTAAACTATTTGTTCTAGAATTTAGTTTATACAAATTGTTAAATCATGGAACTTATTTATACTTGCTAGCATAAGGAGAGTTTTAGATGTTGATTTGATAAACCTTCCAAGTACTTCCTACCATCTAACATCTTAATTAAACATTTACATATTTCTACAATAATTTACAAATAGAATTTTTCTGGATGCCCAAAACATGCCTTACTTATTTTAGAGATTATTTTGAATCACTTCCCCATAAAACAAAACATTGTTCCATTGGCCATGCCAAGAATTTCCTTCAATTTTATGAAATGTTCCATAGCAAGTGGCTTAATGAAAATATTTGTGACTTTATCCTCAATTTTAACAAACTCTACTTGGATTTCCTTCTTCTTGATTTGATCTCTTAAGTAGTGGAAACAGACATCAATACCCTTTTTTTCTTTCATGATGCATGAAATTATTTTTCAATCTTATTATTTTTCCATTGTCTACATAGACTTTTATAGCTTCGATCACTTTTAGCACACCCATTTCCATTCAGCTGTTTCCTTAGCCATGGGCACAATCATGAAGATACTACAATATATGCATCTTCACACATGGAAAGAGCAACAATTTGTTGTTTATTTGAACACCGAGTGAAACTACTGTCTCCATAATAAAGCACCAAACCATTTATGATTTTTCTATCAACTTAATCTCCAGCTCAATCACTACTAAGTACGTATCCGGTAAGTTGAAATTTATTAAAAATCAATATAATGCTGCTAGACTTGGATAACTTTGATGTAGTGAAGATTTATCTTAGCTGCTTTCAAGTGAATCTCAATCGAATTTTCCATAAAGTATCTTGCAATTTTAACGCCATAAAAATTATCTAGGATTGTACATATCAAATTAATATCTTAAACTTCCAATTAACTTTTGAAGTTGGATCCACTTCTTTGCCTACATCATTCTTTTGATAATTTTGTTCTAAATTTCATAGGTGTGTTTATCAATTTGTATTTCGTCATCTTGAATTTCTTGAGAGCTAAAAAAGATGCCTTCATGATTTGTCTTCACTTCTATTCAAAGAAAATAAGAAATACATTTTTATATTTGTCATCTTAAATTCTTGCCCCATGCTTTGCTTCCTCAATCATTAGTAGATTATTGTCTACAAAATTAAGATCAACTATATAAAGGTAAATAAGTAAATTACCTCCATTTTAATATATCTTCACATAGCTGGCATTTCATATAGGCTTTTAATATAGCCGGTTTTATTTCAAATAAAAATCAATCATTGTATTTTATGCACTTAGAATTTTTGTAAGCCATATAAAGTATCTTTTAATTGAATTATAAGTTTTCATTTATTGACATTTTTTATATATTCTAAGGGCTGCACAATATATATTTCTTATTTGATAAATCTAGTTTAAAATAACAAGCAATTTTGCACATTTATCTCCTCTATTATTTTATCAGTATATTGAATGAGCTTATGAAAGAACTATTACGTCAATAAGTGGGAATGGAAAGTTTTATTTCATAGAAATGGTTTGTTGGTGGAGGTGGTTTATCAATGAGCAGAGGCTCAGAGCAGACACTTCATATTCTGTGTTGCATCATGTATGGTGAACAACTGCTTTATTTTCTCTTACTTTTATTAAAATTGCCAGCAGATGATGATACATCGTTGAAAGCTTTTTTTTTTCTTTTCTTTTCTTTTCTTTTTATAGAAGAAGAAGAAGAAAATTAATTAGATATACAATTTTGAATAAAAGTCTTCAGCTTTTTGCTCATTAATTTGTGAATGATGGCAATATTCTTTTCACGAAATTGAATTCATATTTATTCCATCATAAGAGAGGTTGACTTGAACCTACCAAGAATTAGTTGAATTCTTTTGAGATGAGGCTGACTTGAACCTACCAAGAATTATGCTGCAATGTTAAACCTTTTCTACTCAAAAATACTTGTGCCACTAATCAAAGACTTAAGACTTCATTTGGGACGGCTTTCTTTTTGCTTCTTAAAGCATATTTTTAGTATAAAAATTAAATTTTGTACTATAAAAATTAAATTTTGTACTATAAAAATTTTTATGCTAGAAAGCTATTTTATGCAGCAGTAAGAAAGTCATTCCAAATGAAGTCTAAGATTTCGTTTGAGATAGCTTTCTTACTGTTTTCTAAAACAACTTTTTAGTATAAAAATTAAATTTTGTACTATAAAACAGCTTTAAGAAGTAGTAAGAAAATCATTCCAAACGAAGCTTAAGAATTTGTTTGAGACAACTGCATGTTTTATTACATTTGTTATGAAATTGTTGTTGCAAAGTATTTTTAAAACGCAGTGAAAAAACAGTATAAAAGTAGTAGCTAAAAGATATTATGATTGTTATTTGAAAAACAAAACAATGAAAACGCTGTTCCTAACATACCCTAAAAGTCAAAATCTTTACATCATAAAAGAGAATAAATCTAATAATATATTTAAAGAAAAATATGAGCAAACCCCAGCAAGATTGAAGTCGCACTAAATATTGCATCATCAAAATCATTTCAATAATTAAGAAAGTTGATTAAAAAACTTGCTGGTCTTAGCTGCAGGTTTATTTTTAAATTAGAAGATCTAGAAGCATGCTCCATTATTTAAAGATCTTAAGAAGACTAATCAATTCAATGGGATGCCGATAATGAGAAGCCATTCCAAAAGCTTAAAGGATTTGTTGATTACTACGCCACAATTCTTATCAACCTGTGACTTAAATGAGATATTTTCCTCTATTAGCGATCAGCTCAGCAGAAAAAATCAACAAGTAACGTCATGTTTGATTCCACAACAAGATTCTTAATGGAGCTGAGATGAATTTTATGTGTGCATTTATTTCAAAATAAGTCTAATTTAAGCTTCATTTTGGATAGTTTTCTTATTAATTTGCTTTTTAGATTGCAATCATAATTTTTATTTGATCATTATTTTTTTATCGGTTTCAAAAAATGTTTGTGTTCAAAATAATTAGTTTCTCTACAACAGTTTTATATTCACATCTATAAAAAGTTACAGCCATCCCAAACATATTCTTAGATTTCGATTGGGATAATTTCCTTAATTCTTTGTAAAATTGATGTACATAAAGTAATAATCAAAATTATGATTGAGGCTTTGTTTTGGACGACTTTCTTATTGCTTTTTAAAGCATTTTTAATATAAAAATTTTAATTTTTAAACTTTTATAATAAAAAGTTATAAAGCAGTAAGAAAGCCTGTCCCAAACGAGAAAAATTATTATGTGTGGCGTCCGAATTCGCCCGGACACCAATAACAATGCGCTAAATCGCCCAAAAAATGCACTGTACTCGATACCGAGCGCTCAGTACCACTCAGTACCGAGGGCGTAACCGGACGGGAGAACCGTCTTGTGTCCTCACAGAATAATAGCACCCCAAACAAAGGTTGCTGAGATCTGAAAAATAAAATAACAAGGAAGCTGCCCAATTTTTTAATTATTTAATCAGGATATTTTTATATAGATTTTCTTTCTTTTGAAATGCGCTTGAAAGCCAAGCGAGCAAGAGGGCGTTTCGTCAACAAAAAATCATGTGGCTTGAAGGCCTAGATCACTTAAATAAAAATCGTGGAAGCTAAGGCGTTACAGCATCAGTGAAAAGCAAGACGCACCTAATAATCTACCAAAACTCAACCACCCATTCTCTTTTGATATAACATTGTTATTAAAAAGCAGCTCTTTTTGGTTTATTGGTGGGAAGTTTGGCTTCTAATTAAGGACTAATTATTCTGTGCGGATGCTGAATGTCATACGGAGACCTATCAAAATGCGCCACATCAACCTGTGCTCGGTATTATTTGGTACCGCTCAATACCGCTGCTCGGTACTGCTGACATGGTGCATTCTGGTTGGTCTCCGAACGACATTCTGCATTCGATCTCCACACATAATAATTTCTCCTAATTAAGAGGTCATGGGTTTCGGTCTCATGTATGTGTTGTGTGTGTATGTTTGAGCATTGCCCCTAATTTCCCAAAAAAAAAAATTGACATCACGTGGCATTCTTTTTAACCCCTCGTATTTGTTTTTTTTTTTTTTTTTAACAAATTGATGTTTTGTTTGATGAAGAATGAATGCACAATAAAATTATCATAAATTTTAATCATATTTGATCTATTCAAAACTAGTTTATTTTTTCTTATTGAATTCGAAATACATCACAAACTTACTTGGCTCTCCTCGCCGTCACCCACCATTGCCGTCTGACCTCCCGCAGTTAAGTTGGATTACTTTATTTTAAATCAAATTAAAAAATAATCACATTATTTATTTAATGTTCATTAAAAATAAACAACTCTAAGTATTTCAAATATATTATATTTTTTACACTATACTTAAATGAGCCGATCTAGCTCGAACTCAACTCATAATGAGCTTGTGAGTCGAGTATATCAAATCATGAGCTCGAGCTCAAATTAAAGCACAAATATTAAATGAGTTTGAGTTTGACAAAACTCAGCTTGTTGGGTAGTGAGCCTGCTCATATTTTTCAAAATAAAATTTGAATATTATTTTATATGTTGAAAAAAAAAAAACTACAAGTACCTTTATTAAAGGTAAACTTTTGTCATTTCTATATTAAATGCTATTGGAATTCATTCTTTTTTTATCTATTGAAAATCAAGCTATGCCTCCTTCACCGAGCTATCGACATGAGGATAAATTATTCTGTGCAGAAGTCGGATACATAACGTCGTTCGGAGACCAATCAGAATGTGTCACGTCAGCATTGCCAAGCGGTATTGAGCAGTACCAAGCGAAGGGGTGACGTGACACATTCTGGTTAGTCTCCGGATGACGTTTGACATCCGCACAGAATAATTAATCAGACGCGAGGGTGTGATTTGCGCTATTAACATCTTCTCCAATAAGAATATTTTTTAAGAGAGGGGAGTATTTAGGGTAAAAAGAGTAAACATCTTAATCACATATATAAGTTTTGCATCCAAAATCTTTAAACCGATAGTCAAAATTCTGAATCAACAGGCCAATATGAG